ACAGACAGACAGACAGACAGACAGACAGACAGACAGACAGACAGACAGACAGACAGACAGACAGACAGACAGACAGACAGACAGACAGAGCAAAGAAAAGTGCTATGATGATGATTTATTGCCCCTTCAAAAACACATTTTTTGAGGCAAGACCTCCGACAGACCGGCACTGAGTAGTGAGTAGGACGGAGAACCTAGAAAAGTGCCAAGTTGGGGACGTCCGCTATGTTCTTCACCTCTATTTTGTTTCTCAGCCAGATTTGAACCAGGCATCGACAGTGCGCTGCCCTAGAACTATAAAGTTATTTCTGACATTTTTGGCCTTTTTGAGTTACTATAAGACCTTGGGATCACAAACCAAAATGCTCTATCAAAAGCGTAACATTATTCGGAGTCGCTATCAAGATACTCAAAGAACTGCATTTTAAAAAAAGTTTGACATGTTGTGAAACTCAAAATTTATTATGTCAAATTTCCCAAAACTAGGTACTGAGCAGATAGAACGTTGTAATTCTGAGGTAGCGAGTGGTTGGCTGCGGGTGCTCTAGGGTGGTTTGCTCCCTCTTTTGTATCAAACGTCTGTCGTCTTTATCTCTCTCCCTTCATTTTTGTGTTTGTAACTCTCTTGTGATACTTCTAATCTCCGACGCTTATACTTATATGGCCTAATTGTAGTATTGCAGGAGCCATAAAAATCTGAATAAAACTAGAATACAACGGAGATCATGGTTCACCACTACATTTCTCTGCTTGGGTGCTCTTTAACAAACACATTTGAAATAAACAAAACAAAACAAAACCCTGGGTTTTTTCCTGTGGCCCATCTGTTGGCTCTCTCGGTGAGTTATTCTTCGTTTACCTAAACCACCTCTTTGACCTAAACTCGGTCTAATACATTACGCGAGCTGGGCGAACGACGCGCCTGTAGACAGAGATCTACGCGTAGGTGAATGATACTATGTGGGAACCGGAAATGGAAAGATGCGTAGACAAAGGCGTTGTGGGAACTGGGCGGGTTGTTGGCAGATGAGGAACAGTGTATTATAGCCAGTGCGCACGAATACATTTTTTCATGCGATTGTGCTTGATCTGATCTGCCGAACGACAATGCTCCATCTGGTATGTCTCCCAACATTGCTCCGATTGACAGATTCGCAGCTGGAACAGCAGAGCTTTTGTCTCTTTCAAACGGTTTCTGGAACAGAACCGTCAATATCGCATGGAGTCAACTTTGTATTGAAACTGTTTACACGCCGGAGAGAGAAAATGAGGTAGAGGACGATATTTTCGAATGGGGGAAAAGAGGGGGCGAGGGTTAGAAATATAAACATTCCCTTCCCTAAACGTGAATGTATGACACCAACACCAAGAACGCTTTGCGAAATCTAACAAGTTTATACATATATTCTGCACACATCTGGTTTTCAGGCGTACCCTCTCACTTTCTCTCTCTCTTCTCTCTCTCTCTCTCTCTCTCTCTCTCTCTCTCGCTCTCTCTCTCTCTCTCTCTTTCTCTCTCTCTCTCTCTCTCTCTCTCCATTCCTCTGTCTCTCTCTCTCCCTCCCTCCCTCTCTCTCTCTCTCTTTCTTTCTCTCTTTCTCTCTGTCTGTCTGTCACTCTCTTTCGCCTTCT